GAAATGGCAGTGGAATTTTGGGGACACGGCCTCAGTCATGGGGGGGGGAACGCCTGGGCCTGGTGAGAGCCCCCCTGTAAGCTGGTGCCCAGGAGCAGCTGCCCTGCTCTGTGGAGCAAGGGCAGCAGGCTGCAGGCTTCTTCTAAAGGCAAGTGAGCAGCTTGTGCTGCATAGAGGCATCAGCCGTTGTTTCTTTCCCCCTTCCCAGAGACAGAAACAACCACTGACATGCATGTGCCTGTGCCCTCCTGCTCCACCCCAACATGAATCACACTGACTTCTGCCTAGGGTGAGAGAAACATCAGCCAGAACCCCGCTGAGACTCACAGAGGCTTTGTGGGAGGTGTAAGGCATAGCTCACTTGCTTTTTCGTGACTACAAAGGCAGCAACAACTCCAATTTTTTACTAATTACTAACTCAGGGCTCTGCCAGAAAGGGATGTGCCATGGAAAAGAGGGGATTTGGGTCAGGGCCACCTCCCTCCTAGGGCTGCCCCATGGTGATGCTGCTCATCCACAATCCTTGGGCCCCAGGCAGCATGACCACGCTGGCTGCCACAGCTGCAGTAAGTGCTTACAGCAACATCAGCACCCGAATGTGCAGAAAGGTTGTTCACAGAATCATAGAACTGTTTGGTTTGGAAGGGATCTCACAGCTCACCCATCTCCATGGCCATGGACAGGGTTGCCACTTACTGGATGGGCCCCATCCAACCTGGCTTTGAAGGCCTCCAGGGTCATCTTCTCCTGCATGCTCAGAGCACAGCAGGAGGGATGTGCAGGAGTTCACCTGGAGCAGGCACATGGTGATAGCTCATCGGGACTTTTTGCACTTCCAGCTGTGAAGGAGAGCTCTGAGAGGTAACACATGTTTCCTCACACCCAGAGGCAAAAGTTCACGGCAGCTGCTTCAGAGCACCTTCTATCAAGGGTGTTCATCTGACCCAGTTGTGTCTATAGCTGCTATTTTTTCACAGGCTGAACTGACTTAATTAAGTCAAAGTAGTTAACTTGCTCACAGAGGCAGGAATGGACGGGCCATTGTGATCTTGTGAAATGGAGCTTTTTATCCTTTGTCTATTAACTGAGCCCTGTGTCAGAGAGGCATTAGGAGAAAGTGCTAGGAGACATGAATTGCCCCCATTTATTTGAAATTATTGTAATGGCTGTATTCACTTGAATGCAGTGGTAATATAGGAAAGGCTGAGATGTCAGAGTGCTGACATTTCTTTTTTCTTCATGGCTGAACCCCGTGGTGATTGATTTCATCATGGTACCAGGTATAAGAAGACTGCATTAAATGCATTTTCCTTAGGAATACGAGCATTGACCGGTGTGTGGTCAGACACCTGAGCAACTGCAGAGAACGCACAAGAGTTACACAACTACTTGAAAACTATTAACTGCACGTATTGGTCTGCCAAACAACAGCAATTATGTCTGCCAAACTTGAATAATGTCCCATACAAGGGGTGAGGGGAAATCTGAAACATTTCTATGACTTAATCTTAGAAAACACTACATGCTGTATATCAAGTAAGTCCAAAAAGGCTGTGAAATCTGATTTAAGATAACGTAAGGTGTGCTCACCACATTTTGCAAGACAGTAGTTTCCAGTTTTAATCGCAGCTGCGCATCTATTCAACATTTTATCCAGCTTGCAGAATTCATCAAAAAAATTAGTGACTGAAATAAATTTTTTCTATCAAAATGACAATTCAAATAATGACAAAAATCACTGTGTTGTTTCAAATATTTCTCTCTTTTTTTGCTCCTTTCAAACTCATTTAAGAGTTAAACCAAAATGTTTTTAGTGACAAAGTAATAAAGTGAAAGGTTTGTAAAAACAGAAGGGGAACATGTGGGCAAGGTTCCTCCTGATAGCTGAAACTGTTCAGCCCAAACGACACCAGGTGGTGCCTCTTTTCGGAAGCTCAACATTTTTGCCCAGCTGTCATCTGAATGTTTTGAATAGTGGAGTTGGATTTTTACCACAGAGCTGAACCCAGTGACCTCGTTCCCCAAATGACACCAGCTAAACAACATTAATATGGTTCTGCGGCGGCATAAGCTGTCTGTCACTGCCTCCACTTGCCATCCATGCTGTGTGCTCACCTCAGGGAGCTGGAGGAGAGGAGAGGAGAGGAGAGGAGAGGAGAGGAGAGGAGAGGAGTTTTCTATCAGTGTCCACGATGTTCAGACTTCACCCTTGCAACACATTTTGAGCATGTCAGTTACACAGCACAGAGAAAACCACATAATTACAGACTTGAAAATAGTGTGTGTAACTGTTCCTGATGAAAAGTGCCTTTTAGCTTTCAGAGCCTGAAAATAAGCAGGCTGTGAAAACTGGAAGCGTTTTTTTCTCACATAGCACCAGCCCCCCACCCCTTGCTTTATCTTCTCCCTGATCTGATTTCACCAAGCAGCCAACGCTCAGTGCGCTCAGCCCTGATGGGCTCCAGGACAAGTACAGCAAACCTGCACGGCCCATACTGTCAGCTCGTGCATCTCAAGGAAGCCATTTTGCTTCAGCAGATTGCAAGCAAACCTTCAGTTCATCATTTTGTAATATATCATCACAAGTCTTGTGAAGCAAATACAGACAAAATGAAGTTCTCAGTTACAGTGTGAATATTTTCATCTGGCTTCTTCTGAAGCAGCTACTCTCCAGAGTTTTCTGGTCCCTAAATCCCAGCATCTCACAGCAGATACCACAGCAGGGCATCCCAGCCTAGCAGTCACTGTTCTTTAACACATAAAAACAGCAACATTAACTGTCATAAACAAAGCTTATCCCACAAAGAGAAAAAAAAAAAAAAAAAAAAAACGAAAAAAAAAAGCAATAGAACTTGCTGGCAAAAAACGTTTCACTTTAATGAAACCAGATATTAAACCAGTGGGGTGGAGACTATAATAAAAATGCCTACAAATGTAACAGACTTTAAGACTGCCAATGCAAAATTTTGCATGTGATCTTTAATGTTCAAACAGGAACAACAGCTACTTTTAAATTAGGGGTTGCAAGAAACAACGCTTTCATTGACAGCACATTACAAGAGTTGGGATATTGGAACGAACTTCTTCCAAAAGCCAAAAGATTTTTAACTGAGGAATGAAAATACCTAATATCTGTGTAACTCCATGTAAGTATCAGGCAGTTCAGGTTCTTTTACAAATATGTCTTAGTGTTCAAAGGGGCTAGGGATTTCCAATGTATACCAGAAGTTTTACAAAGAGAAAGAGAGAACGTAAAGAGAAGAGCGCAGGAAAAATGTATGCTCAGGTGCAGAAGCTTGTGAGGATTTGAAGCTGATAATAAAACCTTACACATGAGATCGGCATGTTTTTATGATCTCACTTGGAATAAGCCTGATGAGTGGTAAATATTCACCAGCCTGGGAGTTTTGGGGATTGCTGCAACAGCAATAGTCCCACGCACTACTGCTGCTCAAGGAGCCCGTAATGCTGTTATTTGTTCACCTACATCACAAGTGAGACCATCCCTAGGATTCATAGGAGGAGAATTGTTCCATTTGGAATTTCTCCTCATGAAGAAGCTCAGATGCAGAACAGAGCATGGAGAAGGGCACCTGACTGATATTTCTGGTATAAACTATCAGTAGGTGAGATCTGAGCTATAAATTATATGCTTAGTAGGGTAACTCCCGAAGTCCCACCTTGGATTTGAATCAGACAAGCTTTTGCATCAATTCCTGTCGGCATGCATAAGTCAGGCTTAGTCACAACAGACACAAATAATTCTCTTGAGATCCTCATGGAGAGAGAATCATCCTACTGTTTTGTGCAACACCTTCCATGGCAGCATGTTGTAAGCCTGAGTTCTGAGCTCACTGAAGGGTGGGGAGGGCAGCAGAAACCTTGGGATGAGACCGGTCTGCAAGATCTGAGGGGTGGTATGGGGCAGAGGGTTTGGCACAGATAACCTCAGGAGTGGGGCCACTACAGCTCACAGGGAATGCACAGTGGTGTGTGTTGACCCCACTCTGTCTTCCAGCAGTATGCACTTACACATCTAGAGGTGCCACTTCCTTAGCTCATTCTCTGTGCAGAAGGGTAACTTGGCCCAAGCAGGTATATCAGAACTTAGTGCTCAGACTTGCCAAGCTCCCCAGCGCACGATGCCTGCTACAGTCTTTGTTTTATAGAATCCAGGCTGCTATGCTAGCACGCGAACTCAAAAAAATGTGTTATTTAACCATTGTAAACTCTGCCATGTACTTCATTTTTTTTTACTGTAGTAGAATCATAGATTCACAGAATGCCTCAAGTTGGAATAGACCCATAAGGATCATGAAGTCCAACTCCTGACCCTACACAGGACCACTCAAAAATTAGACTGTCTGAAAGCATTGTCCAGACATTTCTTGCACTCCAGCAAGTAGGATACTTGTTTCATGAAAAGTAGTTTATAATCAAAATATGCTAAAAAATATGTGAGAATTTTAGTGCTCACAGAAAAAAAATACCTTTCATCCCTAGAGAATGAAGTCTTTTGCCTCCAGAATTACAGCAGGGACATGAGAATTAATGATAGCTCAGATTTGTCTCTACCACCCTACCCACATGGTTAGCCTTGACTACAAGCTAGCCTTTCTGGGGTTGTAACTAGGTCAAGTCTAGGAAGAGTCAGGTTAAGTTCCTCCTTTTTCAGCACATCTCTGACCATATTGTTGCAGCAGTCTCTATTTTCCCAGGAACAGGACTAAGGTGAGAAAATAAATCTCAGAGAGCCAACTATCAAATGTCACTACGTTTTGATCACTCCTATGCTGGACACAGTATATTTGATCACTGTTGGGCATGTGCAAGACATGCTAGGCTTGCCTGCAGGCCATTTACTACATGGATAGAATTATCTGCATCAGTGGTTAGATAGAAATTTAAGAACAAATTGCCAGGATTTTACAACAACATATACAAGAATCTTTTAAATAGATACACAGTGGTCAGATTTTACGCATTAGATTCTTAAAAAAAAAAAACCACACACCACACACAGATATGTCAAGAGGGGAGGTTGATCCAGGTGAAGTTTGTCATGAAATAAATGCAGACAAACCAACAGCTGAGGAACACCGATAACAAAATCTGCACAACTATGAACTGTAAATCTCCAGGCTGGGTCTGCTTCAGTCCAGGACGGCAAATTACAAACACAGGGTTGTGAACAAAGGCCCCTGCCTGCATCTGTCATTTTTAAAGATAGCGCCCATGTGTGTTGGGTAGGGGAACAGAACTGACAGAGTGCACATCTGTTTTACTGGGGCCACCTGTACCATGGCCCTGGCAGGAGTTCTCCTGTCTTTGATTCGCTCCCATTATCTCTGCCGCAGCATCTTTGTGCAAAGGCAGAAACAACGAACGTAGGCAAAACCACTGCTGGCAGTCCTCAGAAGATCTTGCACTCGTTAATGGAGAAGAGTTTCCGCCTGTTCTGCCTCTTGGCTTGATTGACTGCTGTCCGCACAGCATACTCAAACACCTGCTGCACACCGCGGTTGCTGAGGGCTGAGCACTCCAAGTAGCCTTTGGCTCGCACATCCTGGGCGAGCCGCTTGCCGTCCATCGAGCTGATGCAGGAGGAGCGGTAGGGCCCCGATTCACGCTGGTCGGTCTGCGTGGCCACTACCAACACAGGGACGCGGGGCAGATGGTTGCGGATCTCGCCAATCCATTTGCTCCTCAGGTTCAGGAAGGAGTTGTGGTTTGCCACAGAGTAGCACATTAACACCACATCTGCCTGCTGGTAGGACAGGGGGCGAATGCCTTTGAAGGCATCGCTTCCAGATGTGTCCCAAAGGCCTAGGCTAATCTGTACGCCATCCATGAACACATCCACTCCAGTGTTCTCATACACAGTGGGTCTGTAGTTGTCTGGAAAAGTGTCAGAGATGAAACGTACCAAGAGAGATGTTTTTCCCACTGCAGAGTCTCCCACCAGCACACACTTGATAGAATCCAACATTTTGTTTAAGACCAGGGCCAAGAACACCGTCCCGGTGCAGCAGAAGCAGGATGCAGAGAGGTCTCAGGGGCTGTCTAGATAACTTCCATTTGGGGAGAAGCTGTTCCAAATGTCTTTACTTCTGAAGTCTTGATTCTACCACTTGAGTCTAAAATCCCCTTCTCTCCCACGCAGCTCTGCAGTGCTGTTGGATTTAATTCTTCAGTGAGTCAAATGATGTTTCTGAAAGAAGAAAAATAAAATGTCACATTTATAGCCTACAGAGAACAGTTTGTTCTTCATCAAGACAAACTTTTCTGGTCAAATTTTTGGACAGCCACAGGGAGTGCCCCTCACGGATGATGCTGAACCTTGCCATTCCCTCCCAGCTGGCGGTGTGTGCAACAGCCATTCACATAAATAACTTTCTTGCTGCTCCACAGGAACTAGCAATCTTATCACCTCTGCCATTCTGCACACAGACCAGCTTTTTTTTTTCCCTAATTGTCTAAAGAACTGATGAAATAATGTTCGCTTTGGCGTAGCTGTTCCTGACCTGCTTTCAGTGAGACATTTCCTGCCTCTGACTTTAACAAAGGCTGCCAAAATCCTGAATCCTTCTTAGTCAGTATAGATTCCTTTGAAAACATGCTCTTGTTCTCTAGAAGTAGTCACAAGAAAAAAAAAAATCACTTCATGAACTGATTAGACAGTTTAAGCTATTCTGTAATGAGCAGCAATGCCAAACTGCTTGTGACAACAAGGAAGTAAAGACTTCAGATGTGAATCTTGACTGGCACGAACCTGAACAGTTTTCAAAAGCAATGTAGGATTCGCAGCAAAAATACAAAAAGAGTTCCAAATGTTTCTTACAAATCAATTCCAACAAGCAAGAAGCACAAGCCAAAGAAAATCACACCAGTAATGCTGGCCTAGTCAGGCAATTTTATCAGAAGGGGATGCGGCTGCCCTAACATTTATTTAGTTTGTTGTAAAACTGAACTGAGAGTACTCATGCAATTGGTACAAATGGAATTGCTTTTGAGCTCCTGCCAGCATTCGGTCAAATTTTCTTATTTTGAAAGTATTCGTCTCTTTCCCACTGGCTACGTGCAAGATTCATCACTCACGTATGGCTGCATAAAAATGCTACAAAAGTCACCAACTGCAAAACCAAAAGAAAATTAGCTCTACAAACTAGTTAGAAACTGGTTAAAAATATCACTGGCTAATTTCCTGCATACGTTACAAATATAATGCATTTCTGACTCCTTCACATATGAAAAGAGAAGCCTCACCATGAGGTTACTCTTGCTCAGAAATGAACGATAGCCACAAAAAAATACATACTGGATATTACAGTAACACTTTCACTACACTAACTCCACCACCACCCCACATTTCTAGCACACTTAAAGCTTTGGCTTATCTCACAGAGGAAAAAAAAAACAAAGGAAAAGAAAAGCAGTAGGTGAGCCTAGAGGGAACATTTGTACAAGCATTGCCAACTGCTGCTGGCAACTCCCCTCCTTCCATTTTGCAACAAGGCATGCTCCTACCTCCTCACCTACCTTCTCTCATGCTGCCAGCATGCCTGCATTTCTCCCACCCAACACATCAGCTGGAGGAAGATGTGCCAGAGCTCAGATGGGGTGCGTTGCTTTATAACGGTGGCTATGGGGCAGGTTTGTGCTTCCCCGAGTGACGGGTGTCTGCAGGAGCCACTGCGACAGACGTCACTTCCTGGTCGGTGTGCTCACCATCACGGCCACTTCTAGGAAGTGAGATGGAGGCCGAGACACCGGCACTGCTGTCTGCTGGGAACTGAATGGGCTGCTCTGCCAGACCGAGCGCTGGTGGCAGCAGCTGGATGCTCAGCTTTAAGGCTTCGACAGGGATAACTTTACTGTTACTCCTTTGTTCCTCAAACAAGCACACAAGGGAATGAAACAAGATATTTGCAAAAGGTAACTATGAACATTCAAAAAGCCGGCCCAGGATACATGGTATAATTACTTAAGTGCATCACTGTCTTTCCTTCAGGGTATTCTACTTCAACATTGTGTCAGCAGTACAGTTTTAAAACACCACTGTTCATCACAAGCCAGTAGATCATGATTCAGACAAAAGTGCTCCCAGGAGAAATACAGCACGTACCAGGTCTTTTCCTCAGAACAAACATTTCCCTGATGTAAGAACTCTTAAACACCTTTAGCTTCACTACTTTGTGTATATTTGAATGTGGGGAAAAGTTAGAATGCCTAAGCACAACTTCTGCTATTCCACAAACACCAAAGCAGAGAAAGACGGAGAAAAGGACTGTTGAGGTATATAGATTAGTGATAACCAGGTCTAATTTTCTGGCAGCTTTACAAAGGAAATATACAAATGGTCAAAGCCCAGAAAAGGCTAGTCAACACACAGTAATAAAAGACGAAGTAGTCCACTGTGACAGTGCAGAGAATTTAAAGCAAAGAGAACCATAGAATATCCCAAGATGGAAGGGATCAGTAAGGATATAATTCACTGATAAATTGTACACAACCAGGCCCATGTTCTGGTCCCAAGGGCAAACTGGAGTCAGTCCTGATCTTGCATTTCTTTGCAGCCAGCTGAGTTCACATGCTATCGTGTATAGCAGGGACCATGTAAGTGCATATTGGAGAGGTGTGTTAAAGCTCTCGTGCAGCCTGTTATTGACCTGGCCTTAGGAGAGAAGTAATAATGTATTAAAATGGTTACATAAGCTCATCTCAATTAATGGAAAAACCTTTAGATGAAATATCAATAGAAAACAATGTCCTTTAAAGGACAGGCCAGTACAGGGCACCTCTACCCATCAATATGCAGACGGTTGTGTAAATATTTGCAGAAGATTTGGTTCTCTTCTCTAATACTATGTTACAGTCTTGGTCTGAGACTACACCATTTAAAATCTTGCCTTGCCTGCACAAAAGCTTGGAATCACACGTGGCTGAGTTTCAGTTGCTGAAGGATTTCTTCCCAACAATTTGTTTTCCTAATTTTACCAATTCTATCAAATCCATTTTGTATCTGGAATTCCAGATATAAACTTTTTTTTTTTTAAACACTATTTTGGCTGTATTTTCCCCCACTTGTAAAAACAACAAAATGCATTTACATAACATGGTGAAGGTTTTTATAATATTATTAAGCATAAGAATATGTATCTCATTCTGATGCAGTCATTACAAAAAGGGACTGAATCAAAGTTTATCAGCTCAATCAAACGGGATTTTCATTTATGCCAGGACAGTTTCTGGAGTCTTCTGTAAGCTCACTGTGAGTGTGGCTCAGTGTGGTGAAACATCTGTAGGGGATGGACAGTATCTTGTGATGGGAGGAAAGGGTTGGGAAGTCCTGATTTTAAACCCTACTTTGTATATTGATTGTGCAGCTTCACGTAGATATGGATTCAGAAGAGATTAGTTCATATGTAAACAAAACCATGTAGGCAAGACAACAGGCTTTTTAGACATTACCCTGATCTGGCAGTCACAAAATGCTTCAGAGATCTAAGGCAATTAACATGCTATTATTGTCCTTATCCGGTTCCTACCACAATTATACCTTACTGCAGTTCCTGTTGATATCAGGATAAGAGCAGGCTAATTTTTCAGCTTGAGCAGTGTGTACAGTAGCTCCTGAAGAGAAGTGATGCTGAGAGGAAGCAAAAATATTTGTACTAATAAAAAAAAAAAAGTTGAAAACCCCTGGAGAGACTTCCAGTTTCTATGCAATGCTTGGTTGCACATTGTCTTTGCCTGCATGCATTTCTCCTTAAGTCTCACCTCCAGCAGAGATGAGGTCTGCAAAGCAGTGTCTACAGCATATCTCCACCAGTTGGTTATAATCACAGCTCATTCCAGCTGTGCTGCAGATGCATAAAAACTGTCATCATGTCTCTTATTTAGAGAACCTCAAGGACAGAAAGGAGATGCGGAGACTACTGTCACTGACCAGACAGCACAGAGCTTTGTGCCTCCACCTCTATAAGTACACTGACTGGGGTCTAAGAGCACCTCCTGTGAGCAGAAGGAGAAAGAGGAGGAAGAAGAAAGTGAAGGAGGAGGACTGGCAGAAAATCAAGACAGGGTAGAGAAGCTACTGCCTGGTTAGGGGCAACGCCCAGAAGGTGCAGCAGGAAGATTGATGCCTCCCTGACACTGTGGATCCAGTCTGCATGACCCACTAGATCACCAGGTCACCAATGTCATGCCACCCTGTTTCCAGCTCCATGAGCAAATCATACCTGCTCTGTTCAAACACTGCTGCCACAGCATGGGGCTCCTGAAAACCTGTGCATTGACTGCAGTCTATCTGGAGATTGCCTCTGGTCTGCAAGCAAATGGCCCCTTGCCGCCAAGTCTTCTATCTCATAATCCTTAACCTGCTGCTCTAACATTTGCATTAGCTGCCTCCTGCTTTTTAATCCTATTTTAAGATTATTTTGATCTATCACACCAAGTAGCCCTGGTCTTGCTGGTCTAGGAAACTGCCTCCCTTTCTTTTCAGACAGTGTCACCATTGCAGACCGTCCTGCTATTCGGTGGTGGTACTGCTGCCACTAATGGGAATGGGCAAACAGGCTACACCTTTGCAAGGTGCTGCATCTTTTCCCCAAAATACTCCACCAAAAAAAATCTGAATTCACTTTCCAGCAAGCTATCACACGCTCCATCGTTATTTCCCAGCCCAAGAGCAAGATGGCAGATTACTGGCCAGCTGGTGCTTCAGCCCTCTGGTGCATTTATGACAATCTCTCAATGTCTTTTGCTACTTTAAAGAATTGTGAGGATGCCTGGAGGAGAGCTTTTATATAGATATTTTAGCCCTAAATACAATGATACCTGCAATGGCTTCCTAAAGTTGGAAGTGCAAGCAACACCAATAAACCCACATTTTTAAAGTCAAGATGTCTTGCATTCTCAAAAAAAAAAAAAATTTCCAGCATTAAATAAAATTGCAGTCATAACAACTTAGAAATTTTTCAATCGTTACCTTATTCACAAAACTGAAAATCTGTTCCTGTTTTACAATTTGAGCACTTCATTTTGAAAAAAAATGCAAAACTGAAATTAAAAAAAAAAAAACCAGCAGTTTATTAAATTTGTAGAAAACTGATGGAGTCTTCTCTAGGAACTTTTAAGAAAATTACTGTTGGATGAATACAATGCCTGAAAATTTAAACCTCAGTTGCTTTATTCGGCAGTTTTAACAAT